CAGTGAGCAGAGGCCCTCAGGAGCCCTGGTTCCTTCCTGGCTGCCCTGAGGCTGCAGCCTGGCCCAGGAGGCCTCTCCCCTCCCCTGGCCCAGGTCCAGCCCTGCCTCTGCCTGGCCGTGGTGTCTCCCAGGGCCCCCTATGCCCCTGCTGCCTGGGACCCTGTGCTTTCCCCAGGGCCACCTCCATCCTCGCTCTGAAGCACCCGGACCTCGCACTGCCCATGTGTGCAGGTGCCCACTATGGGGAGAGGCAGGCGAGGGGCACTCGCAGTCCACTAGTCACGGGGGTGCGCGTGACTTCGCCCTCAGGTGCACCGTCCCCTCCCAGGCCCGCTGGGCGCCTGATGCCTTGGCCACGTAGGACCAGTCTCTGGGCAGCGGCTGCCTTGAAGGTAACAAGACCTAGGGCCCTAGTAGTAGGGGCCTCCTCTCCAGTTTGAAGGAGGAGGAATGGGGACACCTGCACGTCCTCATCTGCGTTCTGCGCTCACACCAGGTGTTACTTCCGCACTGCAGCTAAGCCTGAATGCTGAGGGTTTAGTTTAGAGAAAACAACTGTTGTCCAATGTGGTGACTTGGCCCGTGTGCCCACAGAGGGCTGTGCGTGCCCGCTGTCGCACTGGTGCCTTAGGTTCACCAGCACTGTCCTAGGGACTAGTGAGAGGCGCAAGGGAAGGGGCCGTGTCCTCTCCTCCTGACCAGGACGAGCGGAGGAGCCAGGAGACCTACCCCACTCAGTGGTCCAGCCCTGCTCCTTGCTCCACTCGCTCCAGATCCCGTCGTAGCTGTCTCTGGGGCTGGGCCTGACCCTCACCCTGTCCCAGTAGGTGGTGGCGGGCTGCAGGGGGGGCAGCGGCATGCTGTGCGCGTTCTTCAGGGTCTCAGTCTTGCTGTCCTGTGGGAGCAGGGGCTGAGACTGAGGCCTGGCCTGGTGCAGGGTTCAGTGGCCTCCCGGCCCCATCTCCCAGGCGCCCTGTGGGCCTGGGTCCACCTCTGACAGCACAGATGGGGACACCGGGGACCAGAGAACACAGACTCCTTCGAGCGCCCTCACGTGGAGAGTCCTCAGCCTTCCAGGTTTCTGCTGATCCAGGAGTGGGGAGCAGGTTGACTGGGCTTGGGCAGTGGGACGGGGGCTCAGGTGCTGGGCCTCCTCCTCACTCAGCACTGACCACCCTTTGGGCCTCAGTGTCCCCTCTGGGCCACCCTGTGGGTTCTCTGTGGGCTCTGAGGAACCTGGGGTCTGCACAGACTGTACTTTTTTGTGGCAAACAAGCTTCCCCAGAGGAAATGTCCTCATAGCTTGGTGAGCTCTGAGGAACTTCATCTCAGTGGTGTCAGCCCAGCCTGCCATGAGGGTTTCTGTCCCTGGCAATTCAGGCTCAGCTGTGTTCACGTGGCCTGGTCTCCTCACCACTCAGAGCCTCAGCTTCTTCCCCAGGAGATGGGACCAGGACCGCTGTCTTCACAAAGGCACACGCTTGACTGGTCACTGTGGCTGGCTTGGGGCGCTCCGGGATGCTCCCTTCCTCCTTCTCTCCTACTGCACCTGCACCTGGGCCCTGCACTCACCTCCCACGTGGCCATGTCTTCCCTGTGCTGGACCTGGATCTCCGGACCTGTCATGCGTCCATTCCTTTCTTCCCAGTGCAGGGTGTACCTGTCTCCATCCTTGGTCATGCTGAGGGTTGGGGCTGCCATCTGGACTGGAGGCAGAAATATTTTTAGGGATGGTCATGACCTCTACCCTCTGGTGAACCATTCAGTCATCCAAGCCAGTCACAGGTGCTCTCTCTACTCTTCCACCCACCCCAGGTCCTGCCCATCTGGGGATGGTTTCGTCCCGGGTTCTGGAGGCAGCACTGTTTCTCCCTGAGCAGTGCTTCCCTGGCTGAAGCTGAGGCTGAGGAATGCTGCTGTCTGGTTAGCAGGAGTGAGGAGCCCAGGCCTGGCTCCCCATGGCAGTGGAGGTGGCTGCATTGACCACCCCGTGCCTGCAATGCTAAGCACCGCAGAGCCTGGAGCCGAGGGGGACCAGGAAAGATCCCAGCTCCAGCCTGCCTGACCTTCATTGCAGCCCCTGTGAATTGTGGGAGTGGATGGGCTCGGTCTATCACAAGAGGGCAGGAAGCACTGGAAATATCAGAGAGCAGGGGCAAAGCACAGAAAGCTCTGCTCCTTCTGGTCTCAAAGTAGAGCAGGGATAAAAATACAAGGAGTGATCCAAGTATACAGTGAATGCTTATATTTTTAAAAAATATATATGACAATAACAAAAACATATTGCTATTAATCCCCTCAAAATACTCTTCACTGCAAACACACTCATCCCATCATGCTTGCCATTTCTGAAGCAGCTCTGGAAGTCCTCTTTCTTGAGTGTCGAGTTATGAGGCATGATAAAAAATACAGCGAATGCTGCTGCTGAGTCATCCAATAGAAAAGCAGACTTGTAAAACATGACAGTGTGTCCTTATTCACCTTATCTACTGGATCTGGCACTGTGTGACTTCTGGCTCTTCCCCAAAGTCAAAATGATCATGAAAGGTGAATGTTTTGAGTCAATTCAGGACACCAAGGCAGCCACAATAGAGCAACTAATGACACTCACGTGTCAGGCCCTATTCCAGGCACAGGAATAGCACAGCTAATAAAGCAAATCTCCCCCATTGTGAAGCCAGCATGATGAAGAAGTATGCTGTACAGCAGGTGGTGATTACTGCTGGGGAACATACAGGTGGATGAGGGGCTAGTGCCAGACGACTGAAAATACGATTTTCAGAAAAGGCTTCAGGAGAATATGGCATTGGAACAAAGGTGGGAAGGTGGGGAAGGAGAAAAACAGGCAGATTTCAAAGGCAAAGGTTCCCAGCAGAGAGAGCAGCAGGTGCAAAGTCCCTGGGGCAAGAATATCCCAGAGTTCCCACCTCTTGTGAAGCTGCACAGGGACCATGGGCTTTGTGGGCATTGTGGAGACACAGGTGTAACTGCATGGCAGGCATGCTGAGAAGGTCCTGGGTAGCAGAGGGCACATTTGCCTGTGTATTAACAGAGTCCCCAGGGCTGCTGGGTTGGGACAAAACTGAAGGAACCGCCAGGATGGAAGGAGGGAGATCAGCGAGAAAGCAGAGCCAGGACCAAGGACTTGAGGTGGCTCAGACCAGGCCACAGCAGCAACAGCAATAAATCTGGAATGAGCGGATTTCACAGATGGAGGTGGCAGAGCTTGCTTGTGGACACGACGTGGCACTGAGAAGAAAGCTATGGCAAGAATGAAGCCAAGGCTTTGGGTCTCAGCCACCAAGGCAGATAAGCCAGTGAGAGAGGAGGGGAAGAGGGGGAACAGCAGGTGAGAAGGGACACATGCATATTCATTTCTGAGGACTTCCCAGGTGAAGTGGCCATTGGGCACCCAGGGCGATGTTGGGAGGATAAGAGGGATGCAGAGGAGAAGCTCAGAGGACAGCACCTTGCAAACCAGTGGAAAACACTAAGCGAAAAGGAAGGAACAGTGGACAATTTTCAAAATGGTTCTGATACATCATCAAATGCAGCAATGAAATTTTTAAATAATTTCCAATAAATATGTGAATTATTTGTTTTCGTTTTTAGTGAATGATCTTTCTTTGACGGTGACAAACAGGAAGACTGGGGCAGGAGGGAGCCTGGGATTCCTTGGGTAGCCGAGGACCCAGCACTGTCCCGAGGACCCAGAGGGAAGCAGGGCAGACTCACTGTGCTCTGAGCTCTTGATGAATGTCTCTTCATTCCGTGGGCGCACGGCCACCATGTACTGGCCGTGGGGCCTCAGGCTGGAGACACGGATCTGGCAGGACTGGCGGGTGTAGAGGCCGTCAAGCTCCTCCTTCTGCACTTGGGGACACTCCTCCTCCCTGAGGGGCACACACAGCTGAGGTCAGGGTGCAGGGAGGGACCGAGCAGCAATGAGACCTCAGCTGGGCTGGGGCTTCTGCCAGGGCCCTGGGGACAGGAGAAGCCTGGGGAGGGGAGGCTGAGAGCAGGGGAGGGACGGAGAAGGGACACTCACCCTGCATCCGGGCTGGGCCTGTAGAAGAGGCCGAAGGAGACCGAGCTGGTCACCTGGGACCTCACCTCCCAGGAGCAGCTGAGCACGTGGGCCCCATCAAAGACACACTGCAGGTTCTGGGGCTGGGCCTTGTCCCCTGCAGTGCAGACAGCCCTCGGTCACTCCCCTGCCTCATGCCATAGCTCTGGGGACACCCCGTGACCACCACAGGGAGGTCATGGGCCTTATGATAATGAGACCAGGCGTTGGTCTCTTCGTGGCCCTGCCATCTATGCGCCCACAGTTCCAAGCAACCTGTCCCAAGGCGTGGACACAGTCTTGAAGAGCAAAGCCCTCGGTAACACATGGTGGCCAATGACACAGCTGCTGTGACTGCAGTTGTCATCAGCAGACATTCACAGGGACTGGACCTGGAGTGTATAGGACAGAGCCTGACTGGGCAGAGTTCCCACGGGGACGGGGCTGGCCGCAGACTCTCTGAGGAGGACACACAGCAGCCTAGGCTTGGAAGGCCCAGACTGCTACTGCCCAGGACGCTAAGGAGCCCACCCTGCCCAGAGGGACAGGTCCCACCCGGACCCCGTACCTGGCTGTGAGTCCCAGTGAACCTCACGGCTCCACTGGCTGGGCCGCCCTGAGAAGCTCGAGTGTGGGGCCAGCCGGGTCCGCACTCGGGCCACATAGGTGCTGCTGGGCAGGAGGATTTCGGGCCCCAGGGTGACCTGGGAAGAGCTGGAGTGCAGGGTGCTGGCATTCTGTGGACAGAGGGGACACTGTAGGAGGTGCCTGGCCACGTGTCCCTTGGGGCTGGGGCACAGCTGACTCTGGGTCCTACCTCCCAGGACTCGTGAAGCCTCTTGTAGACCACCTCAAACTCCAGGTCCCCCTGTGACAGCCAGGACATCTTGGGACCCCCGAGGGCCACACTCCAGGTCAGCAGGAATTGGTCCCCAGTGGCATAGATCTGGACATCTCGGGGTGGGGGCGGCTGCACTGCAGGAACAGGAAGCAAAGGGCTCCTGAGGCTGGGCCATGGGCCAGAGCGGCCTGCCCGGCCTCAGGGGGGGCACACTTGGGTCCTAGGCCCAGGGCTGGCCGTCAGCTAGGGCCATGAACACGACCCTCCCTCTGCAGCCTCAGGCCCTCATCTGCAGCACTGTGTGCTGAAATGTGACAGCACTGACAGCTGTGCAGGCTGCTGTCACATGCACTGCCAGCTCCAGTGGAGGGGCTGGAACTCAACCCTCAGTAAGCCTCCCCTGCCCAGTACCCAGGGTGACCTCCCACCCAGGAGAGGGCGCTGCAGTCACGTGCCTCCCTCTCCTGCTGTCCCCTCTCCTACCTGCCTAGGGTCCCTCACCACTGTCACTGCCCAGTGTAAGTGTTTCTTCTTCTAGGGACCTTCCTGGGTCCCTGTTCCTTGTCTCTTCTCTTCCCTCACCATTGCTCCTTATAAATCCCCCACTGTGGTCCCCCAGACCCAGGAGGTTTGCCGTTTCCATGTTGCCTCTAGGCTGGAGGCTCTCTACTGCCTTTCCTGTCTCCAAGCCTGACATGCAGCTGCCTGGTGAATTGGGATGGGGTGAGAGGATGAATGAATGAATGAATGAATGAATGACACATACGTGCAGTTCCCGTACTCTCAGGAATCACTTCCATCCACCGCTCAAGCCCACCTTGCTGGAACCACCTGGTCTCATGAAGAAGCCCCATTTCGGAGAGCCATGGCTCTGGGCTCCTGAAGTTTCTCTGTCTGATTGCCAGACGTGACTTTCCCATCCAAAACATTCACACAGTAGGATGTGAATGTTCTATGGTGGTCATGGGACTTGGAGGATTAAAGCAGGCCCCAGCTACAGCCCCACAGCAGCCATTAGCCCCAGTGGCAGGTGCACAGCACGCGTCCACCCCTGCCCTCCCAGCCAGGACAGACATCAGGAATCGATCACAGATCCCAAGCCCAAGATTGACATGGGGTGGGCATCTGTCCCAGCAGAGAGCTCCAGAAGGCTGTCACTAGCTGGGCAGACTGGGGCCAATTTTGCCCTAACCATCCAGCTTCAGCCATTTTATTCCCCTGGCTCATGTCACAGATGGAGAAAGCAATAGAGGAAGTGAAATGTCCGTGATCTGGACTGTGGGTGCATCAGACTAATCAGATACCCATCTGTACCCTGCCTCATTCGTTGCCAAGGTTCCAGTGGCTACATCTAACTTCCAGACTCAGTGAGCACTTCTGGAGACAAAATGCCATATTCCCTGTCCCCTGTTGTCCCTAACTTCTTCCTCGGTCGCCTGACAGAAACTCACTGGTGCCCCTTGTGCCCTCTTAGTAGCTGCATCTGCCCAGTATGGGAACACATTCTGTTCTGTGGCCAGGATTTGTATATCCCATTCCTGTCACCCTCCTGGTTTCCTTCCCTGGATGAAGCCCCTCTGACTGTGGGGTTCCCACTGCAGCCCTTCTCTCCTCTCCCACCCAGCACCCTACCCTGTGACTCTCCCCACCCCTCGCGTGGCCTGACTTCCTCAGCCCTCCGGACATGTGACACCTGCCCACAATCCTCTGCATCACAGTCTGCCACAGTATTCCCCAGTGGGCACATCTGGCCCACAGTGGTTGTATGGCCAAGGATCTAAGAATAAGTTTTACATTTGTATACATCTTTTTACAATTGATAAGAATAATCTTGCCAGGTGTGGTGACACACCCCTGTAATCCCAGCACTTTGGCAGGCTGAGGCAAAAGGATCATAAATTCAAGCCCAGCCTGGGCAACTGAGTAACATAGTGAGACCCTGTCTCAGAATAGAAAATGAAAAAGGGTTGGAGACGCAGCTCAGTGCAAAAGCCCTGGGCTCAGAACTACACATACAAAAAAGCAATCTTTTGCCATACATAACAAATGAAATCAAATTTGTGTCCAGTGAAGTTGTACAGGACACGGGCGCACTGGCAGATGTACGCTGCTAGAGTGTTCCTCATATTACAGTGGCTGGGCGAGGAGATGCAGCTGAAATGAGCTCAGCACACAGCCTAACCCACTCCTCTTTAGCCCTCTACCGGAGCTGGGATGGGGGCGCCTCCTGTCCAGCCTCAGGTTCGGCCTGTGTTCCCCCTTCTTCCTTCCATTGTCCAGCATAGGAATGTGACGCTCCCTGACACAGTGATAGGGTCTTCCCAGCACATGGCCCCTCCTGAGCTTCCTGGCCTTGGCACATGGAGCTACCCTGCCAGGAATGCACCTCCCGCAGGCGTTACTCCACAGCCTTGGCAGCAAAGCTGCTTCCTTCCTTCTGGGCAGCCTGTCCTGATCCCCCAGGGCCCTCTGCCCTCTGCCCCCTGCACGAAACACAATGTCCTAAGCTTCCCAGTCTCCAGGCTGCAGCTCTGAGCTCCCCAAGGGAGGGACTCTCCCATCTCTCCCATCTCTCCCATCCAAAAAGAGCAGATTTGGAAACTTCGTTTCAGAGGAGTTGCTGGTGGCCAAACCCACGGCCTCTTCCAGGCAGCAGCTTCCTGAGGCTGTGGCTGAAGGCAGGAAGCCGAGTGGAACCTCCCCGAACTTGTGCCAGAAGCTGCAGGACCAGGGCAGGATCAGAGGCAGGAAGGGACCTGCCTGGGCCCAACCTCAGTGCGGCCACCAGAAGCTTTGAGGCCTGGGGCAAGTCCTGTAGCCCAAAGGCAGTGACAGCAATGCCTATCTGGTGCTGTTTGGGGAAGAGGGCAAGAGTCGCAGCCTCTTCAACACCCACCACACACACAGGCTTGGCATGTCACCCCGAACCTTTGTCAAGGGACTCCCCTTTTCATCCAGCTTCCCTGGAGAGACACTGCCTTGAACCCGGGCTTGTGAAGGGCCAGCTGCATCTCCTTCCCCTGGAAACTCAGGCAGACCTCGCTGTATGAGTAGCGGTCTGCACCCAGCCCAGACCCTGCTGGTTTCTCGGCCTCTACGGACCCACCATGCACCCCTGGGCCCAGTGAGGGCAGTGAGGGGAGAGCTTTGTGTCCCACGGGCAGGAAACCTGTGGGAATTGAACCTATCACAGGGGCAGGGCTTTGGAACCCTCTGGGCCTCAAGGATCTCCTCCACACATGGGCTGTGGCAGAAATGCAAGTCCTGTGGCTGTTCAGTTTCCATAGGAATCCTCAGGGAAGCTGCCAGGGCTCGAAGTCAGGGGCTTGGTGGGTGCTGGCAGCAGCTGGGCAGGGGAAGCAGCTTGGGCATGGCCTTCCCACCACACCTGCTCTGATGTCACCATCACAGGGACACCACATCCTGTCCCAACTGAGCCCCGGGACAGCGTCTCCACCCCTTGAACACTCTCTACCTGGTCCTTCTGCACTAGCCCGGCTGTCCCTGGTGTCTGCTGTCTAGACAAGGACAGAGCCCTGGCAGGGATGCCAGCCCCTCACCGTGCTGGGCCAGTGTCACGGTGCGCTGGATGTGCAGAAGCCGGTCTGGCTGGAATGAGAAGTAGCCATTCTTGTCCAGGCTGAAACCTTGGTAGGGAATGACACATCTTCTAGGCACACAGGGAGGAGATGGGCAGTGTGACCAGACCATATCCTTAGTGAGGTCACAGGACACTAGCTGGGGATGGTCCCTGTGGGAGAGGACAGGGTTTCATGATCTGGCCCACGCTGAATAAGAGTCATTTATTCATTAACTACTTAATGAGTGGCTACCGTGTGCCAACCTTTTTCCAGGCCGCAGTGAACCCCAGACACGCAGATGCCCACCCACAGCGCCAGCATCCTGGGGGAGGGCCACTCCCTAAACCACTGGAGACATGCGGCAGGGGAGACCTCTCATAGACAAATCAACTGGGAATAGGAGCACGTGTATCAGTGGGACATAGGCGGGGCCTGGAATGGATAGTCAGGGACAGTGGTGTGAGCCCTAGACTGTGTCCCAGAGTGTCCCCGGGCAGAGCCAGAGGTCTGAGGATGAATGATTTAGTCACTTGGTGAGGCAGGAGGGCCACCGGGCAGTGGTATGTGGAGAAGGCATTGCAAGATGGGAAGGGTCACATTCATGGATCAAGCATAAAACATGGCCTCCGACTCAGGTAAGGGGAGGGCATTGGTCACCTTGACAGAGGGTGTGACTGAAGCCTGGGGTGCAGACTTGTCAGAGCAGGTCCAAGGGAGAAATATCTGGGGAGCTGCCAGGCAGGAGCCTGGAGAGGGGCAGTGGCTGTGGGGACATAGGGTGGCAGTCATCCTGGTGACGCAGCCACTGTTGGCAGCACATTTGCAAGGTGATGGGTGTGATCCAGGAGAAGGCACCTTCGATGACACAGGGCGAGTGGGGACACTGCTGGCAGTGGTGTTCTTGAGCAAGACCCATGGGATCTGGGCTCAAGCCTCAGAGGGCGGCTGGCACGGGATTTCACTACAGGGGTGGGAGGTGCATCAGCCCCCAGCAAGCGCCTGGCTAGACTCCTGGCCCCTCCATCCCCTGCTGTCCAGCCCCACCCAGCGCTGGTCCTGCCATGCCTCTGTGACCCCTCAGCCCTAACCAGGCACCCTGGAGACAGAGCCCATGTTTGCCCCATGCCCCGCTGTTTATCCTCCTCACTCACTCATTTAACCGCCAGTGGAGGGTCACATTGACGAGCCGCCCAGCAGCCTCGGTGTCCGCCCAGCTGCACACGATGCGGCTGGTGTAGTCGTTGTAGCAGTGCAGGGTCTGCAGCGGGACAGTACCTGCAGGGACACACAGGAGGGTGGCTCTCCCTTCAGCCCCTCGCCACTGTCCCCAAGCGTCTCCAGGGTGTCCAGCCCTGGGGAGGGAACCTAGGTGCCTGCAGAGGCCCTGGGCTATGTGGGGGGGCCCTGGCCAGGACCCTTCTCCCCACAGAAGCACAACTTCTAGCTGATCCTCAGCACATTACTGGGCCCCGTGTGCTGGCCTGGGGCAGGGTACCTCAGGAGGGGACCAGTGCCAGGCACAGCCCCACCCCTGCACCCACCCCACCCCCCGGTCCCCCAGAAGGAGGCACCACCCAGCCCCACCCTCGGGCCGCCCTCTGTCCCCTGCCTGCCTGGCCTGGGCTTGGAAGGGGGACTGTCATTCTCAAAGTCCTGACAGAAGCCGCTGTCTGGGGGCACCGGGAGGGGTCCCTTCTGCCTCGGGAGCCCCAGGAGCACCCCAGAGGGCCTCCTAGCGCCAGAGGCGGCTGGGCTGCCGCAGAGGGAGCCCCAGGCCAAGGCCGCCAGAGGGAATCAGAGCCTCTCAGGCACAGAGGGGAGGGGCGTGGGGGGCAGAGAAGAGGCTGGACGGGCCTGGAGGTGGGGCCTCGAGTGCCACAGTGAGAGGGGCAGGCAGAGGCGTGGCCCTCCCTCAGCGGGACTCTCAGGGGCCAGGGGAGAGTGACCAGCGTGTGTGGACCCTGGAGGAGGGCCCGGGGCGCCAGGTGGAGAGGAAAGAGGGCAGCGAGATAGGGAGGAGGGAGAGCTGCGGGTGTCCCAGAGCTTCCGGGGGTACAGCGGGGGTGTCCCTGACATGGCCGGGAGTGAGACGGGGGATGAGGAAGGGGACAGAGCCTCAGACTCACCTTCTGACCCTTCCACACGGTTCCCCCAGCCCAGAGCCAGCAGGGCCATGAGGAGCGGTCCTGGGAGCAGCGCCATCTCCTGGTCAGCTCTGGACCTGCAGGTTGGCTGCTGGCTATGGACAGGTGGTCTCGCTGCTGGACTGGGGTAGCTGGTGTCTACATCACCAGCTCTTTGTTCACCCAGAAGCAGCCATTCCTCCCTTGGACCTGAAAAATTAGATATAGGACAGGTGGGACCCAGTGCCCCTGTATCCACATGGCAGGACAAAGTCCGTGATGGGGGGGGGGGCACCTTGGCTTCTGTCCCTGCTGCTGCCCTCCTCGCTGGGCCTTGGTTCCCCACCTGCCTTGAGGTTGCTACAAACTGGGCTGCGCCCTCTTCTCTTAGGCTTGCACCCTATGTTTGGTGCTGAGCTCCCACAGGCTTTTGGGATCCTCCTCCCACAGGGGGAGACTTCCGTGTGTCTCAGGATGCACACTTTTGGGCCACACCTCACTGATGCCATCTACTCCACTGCTCCTCCCTCCAGCCCTGAGGCTGTCCCTGCCTCTTCCCTCTGCACCACAGGTGGAGTCCCAGCCTGGGTTCTCGTTTCCTTGCCGTCTTTGGTGATGTTATAGAAGAGTCAGATGCTCTCCCTACCCTTCCTCAAAATTCCTAAAACCTGGGCCAGGGATTTAGCTCAGTGGTTCCACCGCCTGCCTTGAAAGTGCAAGGTCCCAAGTTTGATCCCCAGTACCAAAAAAAAAAAAATTCCTAAAACCTACAAAAGACATAAGCAACCCACACCTGCCCACATCTGCACACACACACAAGGACAGCTGCCATGGGACCAACTGTAAACCCTGTGACCGGCAGGGAAGTAGGAGGAAGAGGAGGAGGGACAGAGGCAGAGTGATCCTGCTTTATCCTCCACACACATCCACCACCAACACCCTCCCATCTTTCTCTGTCTCTGTGCAAATCCACCATCTTGGGTCCCACTAACACCAACCTGGTCACACCAGCTGAACCCATTTAAATTTAGGACTGTGATCCAGAGTGGGGTCCTTAACTCTGCCAGACACCCCTCCAGTCCTTAGGGGGATTCAGCCCTTGCTCCTCAGCCTTAACCTCCCCAGATCCCCAGAGCAAGCTGCTCCCCCTGCATCACACCTCCTGCAGCCCCTAGCCCTGGCCCTGCACCCAGGCCTACCTCTTCGGCAGGACAGCCTGCCCCTTCAGGAGCCTCCAGACAGCTGTGAGCCCCTGCCACCCTGGAAAGGGAACAGAGAGACAGAAAGAGGAAGCAGAGCCTATTTCTACGCATGTGCCCTTTTACTGACATCACCCTGCTTCTTGGAATCGTGAGTGCTAAGACAACAATTTTTTTATTCCAGCCCTTTCTACTTTTCAAATGTTGCTCCTTCTGCTAGAAAGAATGTTGTTCCTTCTACCCAGCCTGGTCTGTCTCTGTAAACTGCACGTGCTTCAATCTCCACTCAGACAGGGCCTAGTCCAGACAGCCCTCCTTGACTTTCCCAGGCAAGGTTATAGGCTGAAAATGGCAGGGGGTGGTCCCAGAGCCCCACAGCCCTGGGTGTGGCTCCCACTTCTAGCATTGCTTAGTGAGGAACTTTGTTCACTTTCTCTCTGGTCATTTGGCTCTGCCTCCAGGCCTCGCCTATTGCTTGGAGATAATTGTCTACAAACCTCAAAGAGATTTTGAAGGAACCAAGTGAAATAACACTTGTTACTCCATAACCCACCATCAGGATCAGCTAGAATTGCTGTTATTTCTCGTGGATCCTATTTGGTAGGGTATCTTGCCCCTAATGTTGCCCTGTGGGGTTTATGACCCGCCACACACACACATTCCTGATTCACACCTTTGTCCTGCACGTGCTCTGGTGCAGACTTGGCACTTGGGACTGGGTGTGGAATGAATGAATGAATCCTTGAGAACAGAGACGTCACAGCCCATGCCTCCCTCCCTTGTCTCTGGTTCTATCCAGCCAGGCACAGGCTGCACATGGGAACCAGGGAAGCTTAGGAGGTGACAGGAAGACCTGGGTGCCCAGTCCCTGTGGCAGCCACTGGGATGGAGCTCTGAAGACCCTGACTTCTCTGAGTCAGGGAAAAGGGTAGGAAAAGGGGAAAACCATTAGCCTTTGCCCCTGCGGTCCTTGGGCTGCTTCCTGTCAGGAAGGGCAGTCTGGCTGGGAACAGTGCAGAGGGCCCTTCCCTGGGGGACAGTCCTGCCCGAGACAGGCCCACCTGAGGCCCCTGCTGGGACCACAGCCCCTCTGGGGCACCGGCATGTGTGTGACGTGCCACCTCGGCATGGAAGGAGTGTGCAGGAGACACTGAGATCTGAGTGAGCACCCTGTCCCCAGCTGTCTTCCTGCCTGGGTGGTCCTGCTCCATGTCTGAAAGCTTGTGCTGCACTGGGGACTGAGGAGGGGCTCATTCCGGGCAGTGCACGAGGTGGAGGTGGAAAGAAGGTTCTTCTTTTGGCAGCACCCAGAGCTCTGGCAGTGCCATCTTCATTGGCTCAGGCACTGTCTGCCCTCCCCACCCCCAAGGAGCCCTGAGCCCCCCACTCCACACTGCTGACCCCTTCTTCAGTTCCCAGCCCCCAGTTCTCCAGTGATAAGTGTGGTGTCCCCTGCCTGGCTGCAAAGTGGCTGCAAGTGGAAAAGAGCACCCAGGAAAATATCAAAGCCAAAGCTCCTTACAGTGTATGTCATCAGTGCAAACCCCAGCATATGATCTTTTGATGAAGGTATTAAAATGTGAAACAAGATAATATTTTAAAACTAATCAATGATAAAGGAGCCTCGTGGTTCTATGAGAATCGACCATCAGGGTAAGTTCAGGACAACCATTCCCTGACACACAGTTCTGGGAATAGGAGACAGGAGAAGCAATGCCAGCATCACTGGAACCTGCCCATCCGAGCTCCAGTCTCAGTTCTTCTGCTTGCCAGCTGTATGTACTTGGGCAAGTTAGGTAACCTCTCTGTGACTCCATGTACTGATCAATAGAGTGGGGGTGACA